ATTACGCATATTTTAAATATTAAGGGTTGTGATTATCAATGTGACTTATGTGATGATTGTGATAATTTGATTTAATAACTATTTAACTCTATTTAGCTTATTTAGCTTATTTAGCTCTTTTTTTTTTTTTTTTTTTAACGATTTCAGTATTACATACATTCATCAAGTATATATGCGTATATGTAATCTGTTAAAAGAAACAGTAATTCAATTTCACAGTTGTAGATCTAGCACATGATAAATAAATCAAGTAAGCACGCGTGAATTAAACATATTAATGAAATTTATTCCTTTATAAATGAACCAGTTGTGATCAAGGAGATATTCGGACCCCGACCAGCTTATATTCTGAGAATACAGATTAAGTGCTCTAACAATGAATCGAAAAACCAAAATGACAAGCAAACACGAGCTCTCGCCACTCCTAAAAGATCAACAAAATAGCAACAAATTGATGATCTTTACTTACTTGAAGTTTGATGAACCATTCGCATACGAACTATATATTTGGATATTTTGAACTCATTAAATTCAATTCGTTCAATATTTAAAAAAAAGCATGTGTGTTGACAATAATTTTTTAAAAGAATCATTGTGATAAAAAAAAAATTACCTAAATTTTTGAATGTTTATGTTTGGAAATTTGAAAGGAAAATTTGATAAATATTACGGTATACTTATGTGCATATTATCGAAAGATCGAATTCCGGGACTGGTTATATTTGTTTATTTGCAATTATGATGATAAAAAATTTGTCGATAAAATTTATCCTTTGCAGACAAACTTTGAATTTGTTTGTTACTCTCATTAACTATCCGCATGTTTAAATAACATTTTAAAATAGTTAATTCCACCACGAGAAAGTTATAATATTCGATCATACACCGACACAAACACCTTGATTCGGAAACATTGAACCAAATGTCATCTATTTTAGAAACAAATATTCAAGCGATTAATATTAATGAATATTAATGTTAATTTAAAATCACATTTTCAATTTTCTTTGTATAAATTTAATTGTGAATGTATTCACTCTTTACATATAAATAATAATAATAATAATAATAATAATAATAATAATAAATGTTATTAATGATATATATGATATATTACCGATAGTTTGGCGTGCATCATTACCTTTGAAGGTACTTGGGCTTTTCAATCATTACTTTCTAACTACAAACTACTATAAACTTGTTGACAATAAGTGGTTGATTCGATGACCGTTCCTATTTCCTATTTATGGGCGATCAACTCGTTTTTTTCTAAAAAATCTCGCGAATGACCTATTATCTTGTAATGGAAATGTTATTTATTCATTAATTGCATTTTTTTTTGATGAACAAATTACGGTAATGATTGAATTTATCTCTTACAATCAATTAAATCCTGTTAGGGATCATGAATTATAAAAAAGATTTAAACTAGATGTTTGCTAATATTAGAAACATCGTAATTTTATATCGTTAGTATGATTTAGTAACATTAGTAACATTAGTAACATTAATAGCATTAGTAGCATTAGTAACATTAGTAATATTAGTAATATAATAATGGTAAGATTTGGTAATATTGATAATACTGTTAATGAAAAGTGACATATTCCCAAATTTAGAATACAACCATGAACGTAATTATTTAAGTGAATTCTTTTTTGCAAGTTAAGCCAACAAGGGGATTCAAATTCGGAAAAGAATAGGGTGGAATAAATTAACCCTATTACGTCTACGTACATACGTATATACGTATAAATACGTATATAATTAATTATCTGTTATTATCTGTTATTATTTAGTTAATAATTATTTTTTTATTTAAATGGGGCGCTTCAGACATTTGGGTTGCATATACAGAAAAAAGATTTTAGAATAGAATAGTTTTCTGGTTTCAATTATTATCAATTAAAATAAGTAAGAGAGCAAACAGAGATCTTTATAAAATTTCTTATATATATCTTATATATATCTTATATATATCTTATATATATATATCTTATATATATCTTATATATATATCTTATATATATATCTTATGTATCGCAAATAATACCATCGCCATAACATGGCTGTTATAATAAGCCATTCGTGAGGCACATTGCACATTCCATGCTCTAAGCAAAACATTGTAACATACTCGCTAAGCCACCCCAGCATTTGAGTATGTTTGTAAATATTTCTATAAATTTATGGCTTAACATTCAACTTGCTGGCTTGTTAACTTTTTGAAAGATGTGACTATATGCTAAAAAAAATCGTGTATCATCACTTTAGATACACGTAATTCATTATATGCATGTATGCAGATCGGTCCAAATTTTGTTAAATATATTTATATCATTTACATCATTAAAATGCGGGAGAGAAAGAAACAATGAGTATGTTGAACATAAATTAAAACTTTAAAAAAAAAACGCATACGATATGAATTTCGAAGGTTGCTTCCATGACATAAATGATAAAATGGAATGATAATCTTTATCTTATAATGTTCATAATATGTTCAAGTAAAACAAGATTAAAAAAAAAAAAAAAAAAAAAAAAAAAAAGAGATGGTAAAGTAAACGTGTTAGCATGTACATTAAAGGCGCATGGAATGCTATGTAGAATTTTTTTTTCTCTCAAATTCTAGAATTTTAAACCATATATTAATACATATTATATATATATACAGTATTATTTAATTAATTTAAATAATTTGCTGGGGACATTCCCTATTAAATTGGTAAACTAACGCTAAGAAAATAACTGAAAAAATAAATATCACAAGATTATCGCATACTTCATACATGTGTGCATTAATTTTATTTATTATTATTTATATCTGTGACTTTGTACGAACATAAATCCTTATCACGAGACGATCCAAATGTATTAAAGGAATTTTATGACAGTACTGAAGTACTGAAATACTGTATGAACGAAGGAATAGAAGCAAAAGATAGTTCTAAACTAGCGATTAATTCTAAACTAGCAATTTTGATAAGGTCGTGCTCGCCGGGCATAATTAACACAAGGAAATTCGAAATTCCAAAATTTCCAAGAATAGCGTGAAGCGCATTCTATGTAAGGTGAATTCCTAAGGCAACCTAAGACAAACTAAGAC